ACACAATAATAAAATTTTAAACCAGTTCAATAATCTGGATCATAATGCACGTTCCAAAATAAATATTAATGATACTAGTCAATGTAATTGTAAGAATTTAGACAAATGCCCAATGCCAAACAAATATTTAACTAAATCTCTCATTTACCTAAGTACTATATCTAAAATAGAGAATCCTATGATTGAAAAATTCTATATTGGTAGTACTAAGAAATCTTTTAAGACTAGGTAGTATCAACATATTTTGTTCTTCACCAATAATATTTATAGAAATAATACATCACTCTCTAAATATTTTTGGAGTTTTAAACATAAACGGTTAATTGGAAAAATTTAAAAACAGCAGGGACATGTAGATCCTTATATGAGCCCTGTTTTCTGTGTTTACATGAAAAATGGAAATTATCAGGTTCTTTAATAAGGACTCTTTATTAAATAAAAGATCTGAATTAACAATAGGATTATTTACTAGTTTCTTAAAGAGGCCTCTTTATGAACTACAAAATAAATTCTAGAAGAAATCCACAAAGCTTATAACTAGTTGGGCACTCAGTTAAATTAACACCCGCTTTTAATTCTTATGAAAGTTGGCTGTCTGGCACATGTACATTTATTGTAACCATTTGTATCAATCTTTAAGTTAATGTCTAGCTGCTGTTAGATGTCAAATCTTGACCAGGACACATTTCTAAGATAATAATTTTAAATTTTTTCTTTTTCACTTAGTTTGAATTTAATGTAGGTCATATTCGATTAGTTGATCAGGGTAAAACCCTCAAGCCTTATATATATCTATATATATAATTTTTTTTTTTTTTTTTTTTTCCAAAAATGAGGATGTATTTTGCTTTTGAAAGCAAATTAATTGTTCACTCGCCAGTAATTTACAATTGCCTGAGAAGACACATCGTTATGCGTTGAAGCATGACTGCAATTGTGTAGCAGTTCTTACATGTTTTTGTTATGTCCTAAAATAAATAAATAGCTCTGTGTATTGAGCCCTCTTTTAAATTATACGAACATTGGAAGTGTAATCTATTTGTTCTCATCATACCTGGATATATGTATACTACACACATTTAAACTGATAGACTTTATAATGTAGTGTGTCTCCAGGGCCCAGAGATGGGTTCCTGAGAAATTCAATGGGTCCCAACTAAAATTTAACAGTTGTATTAAACTGAAATACTTAACAGGCTAAATAGAAATTTTTTTTTTTTTTTACCATTACCCCCCCATAAAAAAACAATTTTAATCATATATTTTTTTTTGAGAATTATGACAGAACAACTTTTTTTTAAATTGACCAGACAAAAGTTGTTTATTTTTTACTTCCAGTTAAAACAAAAAACGTATTTACATTTAACCACTGTTCAATTAAGAAATTATATTTTTTTGAGAATTATGAGTTTCTTGGTTTTTTTTTTTTTTTTTTTTTTAATTTAAAAGTAAAACATACCAAGAAAGTGTCTGGTAAGGTGACATTAATGTCTATTCCATTTTACCCACACATACCACCACCAAATGAAAGAAGGAAAGCATAAGTAAAAGAAAGAACTAGTAAAAAGTATTTAGAAGAATAACATCAAATCATTAATGCAGTGTTTATTATTTAGAATTACAAAAAATATTGACCTCCCTAGTCTGTACCAACACATATAGAAAAATTTATTTTCTCTGAAGACATTTTGTTGAGCCCTGTTAAATGTTGCTTGAACAGTAAGCTGAATGTTAGATACATTTTATATATATATATATAAAATGAACATTGAATTCTATATTTATATTTACATATGCTCTATCTCTGATATTGAGCACTTTATCCCATAAATATAGCACACCTTAAAACTACATTTCTTTATATCTATATATATATATATATATATATATATATATATATATATATATAGCAGAAACATGGTTTCATATCCCGTGAGGTCACTGATGATATTAGACCTGTTGGGTCTATTAACAGTCTGCTCTGTATGGTCTTCCAAAGACTCATAAGGATGATGTGTACCCCTTAACACCCATCCTGTCCATGTCAGGCTAAATCTCAACATAAGGTTCGCGAGTTTTCTTTCAAACCTTCTTGGACCTGTTGTTGAACATTTTAGCTCAGTATACTATTAAAGATTCGTTTTCGTTTATTCAGGTTATTTGTGATACTCCTTCTAAAAATAAATTTATGTGTTCCTTTGATGTGTGTTCTCTGTTTACTTGTGTTCCAGTAATGGAAACTGTTGATATTTGTTGTAACATGTTATATCGAAGTAGTTTGTCACCTTCGGATATCCCAGAAAATGTGTTTGTTGAGCTTATGCAATTCGTTACCATGTCTGTGGAGTTTAGCTTTAACAATTTTATGTACAGACAGATTGATGGGGTTGCTATGGGCTCCCTTTTGGGCCCCGTTTTGGCCAACATCTTTGTGGGCTTTTATGAGTCATCCCTTCTCACTTATGACAATGCACCGTCTATGTACCGTCGGTATGTGGACGATACATTTTGTCTTTTTACTAGTGAAGTGGAAGCTGATTCCTTTCTCACAGTTATAAACCAACTTCATCCATCTTTGAAATTTACCATCGAAAAGGAGTCTAATTCCTGTCTCTCTTTTCTTGATGTCCTTGTGCATCGGACTCCTTCTCAATTTCTTTCTTTGGTGTTTCGCAAACCAACGTTTTCTGGTTTGTATACGCGTTGGGACTCATTTTGTCCCAGAAAGCATAAAATCAATCTCATCAAGACCTTAACTCATAGAGCCTTGATGATTTGCAGTGTACAATATTTGGATGAAGAATTGGATTTTATCCGCTAAAAAATGGATATCCTAGTGATACTCTTGTCAGTGTCATGCGTGATAAAATTATTAATTTTCGAAAGGAAAAACAATACTTAGTTCAGAAATGTCCTATTTACTTGCGGCTTCCTTTTATTGGTTACCGGGGTGAGCTTGTGGCTAGGCGGGTCTTGTCTGTTGTCCATCACTGCTATTTCTCTGCTCAACTAAGAATTCATTTTGCGAGTCGTTCTGCCTTTTCCTCTATCTGTAAGGATCCTCTTCCTTCCCATCATGTTTCTTCCGTGATATATTCTTTTAAATGTGGTTGCGGTAGCAACTACATAGGAAGGACTTCCCAACATTTAGATTGTAGGATCAGGCAGCATGTCCCATTGCGAGTTCTTAATCCGGATGCCCGTTAAGAGCCAGTTGGTTAATACTTCCGGGTCGGCGATCACTGAATATTTGATAAATTGCAGGGATTGTGCGAAGAACTTCAGTCCGAATTGGTTTACTGTACTGTCCAGTTCGCACTCTTCATTTCATTTGAGGGCACTTGAGTTGTATATTCGGTCCAGGGAGCTGTCTCTTTGCAAGCAAAAAGACTGTCTCCTTGGGCTTCACGTTATTAGACTCTAGTGTTTATCATACATTCCCCTCACACTCCCCTTTTTTTCTTTTTTTTTTCTCCTCTCATGCCATTAATTCATTTCATTTTTTATGTTTTAATTGTATGTAGGGTGTTTATGTGAGTCGATATATATTGCAATAATTGTTAAATTGTTCCCAGTCGACCCTGATGAGCTTGGGAACAAAACCGGTTGGTCTGTTCTGTAAGTGTTATCATCTCTTATTGTTTATTTTTCATAATGCCTTTAGGAAATAATTTGTATCTATTCTTTGCAATATTAAGGTTCTGTACCTCCAACAATTTATTTAAATATATATATATATAAGCAAATATATGGATATAGATCCGACAGTATGAAGAAAAATATACAGAAAAAACAAAGAAAAATCTTAATATGCAATTATGCTGTATTAATGTTAATATAAAGTCAACGTTGGACGTTTCGGTCTATTTTAGACCATCATCAGGACATATTCATTAAACATAATTAACATTAGAACATATAAAATTCAACATGAAAAGACGATGGACATAAGAGCACAACTAATCCAAACGGATAACCAAAATTTTTATATAAGATCAGCGTTCCATTTAAATATGATCACGTCGTCGTCATGTGGGCGATGTTGTGAAAACGTATTCGAAGATGATTTCAAAATATTAAAAAAGCTTGATTGAACTATTTTATATAAACAGTTCAAGAAATCCCTTCCGTTGATATAGGAATACGCAGAGATCAATAGGTTCTTATATCTTCATACAAGCTTGAAGTCCTCTTTCAGTTATCTGTTTGGATTAGTTGTGTTCTTATGTCCATCGTCTTTTTATGTTGAATTTTATATGTTTAATGAATATGTCCTGATGATGGTCTAAAATAGACCAAAACATCCGACGTTGACTTTATATTAACATTAATACAGTATAATTGCATATTAAGATTTTTGTTTTGTTTTTCTGTCTATTTTCTTTTTTTTATTATATATATATATATATATATATATATATATATATATATATATATATATATATATATATATAATGGTTTGATTTGAGATGGTTATTTTTAGTAATTTTCTCTTATTTTTATACAAGATGAATATTTGTTTCCACTGTATGTAAAAAAATTCTCTGTGTGTTTCTATCACATGCAAATATGAAGAAACAGATTTTCTTGAAATTCAAAACCAGGTCATTTCAATTCATATTCTTGAAAATGTCTAATGATGCTTGGAATGCCCTGCAGAGGGGCAGGATTGTCCCCGCCCCCAAAGAGTTACCTTGCAGACTTTGATATAAACTGAACCAATGTCTACTTTTTTTTTTTTTTTTTAATCTGGTGCAAATTGAGTAACTGCAATTTTCAAAAATTTAAATGCAATGTCAATAGTTGTCTCCTGTCCCCCTAGCTGCTCTTTCTCCTCGGTAATTGTCTTCTTGGCTTCTTTCACTCTCAGTAACCCCTTGTATCATAGTATCTTTTACCACCTTGCTTGGGGTGAAATGATTTAAAAAAAAATAAAAAAAATTGCCTACTTTTTTTTGACTCTTAGTGTAAAATTTACTCGTGTCAACCTATCTAAGGTTATGGCCACATCATGTTGAAACATTGGTTCCCGTATGATCACGGAAATTAAACAATGTTAAGCCTAGTCAGTACGTAGATGGGTGACCCTTTGGTAATATCAGGTGCTGTAAGTTTGGATATGCAGGTGGTGTAATGTTTCAGACTTGTTAATCAGAAAGCTGTGTTCCAATTCCAATTGGGTTTGTTATATTCACTTGCGCACAAACACTCTTTGGAAAAGTATGAACCCACCTCTTCTCCCTCAGCCATGGCTTAATTAGTAAAACTTATATCGCTAAAACCATTATTATCTAAAAACAAAAATAATAAAATCTTGGACAAGATATTTAGATTTTGCCATTAAATAATTCATAGAGGTTGATATGCCATTAAATAATCAACCTATTTGATTTTGTCCTATAAAACTTTTATCTAATAAGAAATGAATTAAGTGTTGATTTGTCATTAAATAATATAACTTGATGCAAATATCCATTACCTTGTATGAAAATGGTAGAATTACAAAAAGTAATGTTTTCAATAAAACATGCTTAACAGAAATATTGTTAAAATATTATGTATCATAAAAAAAAAATAGTTTTCTGCTTACACAGCAAACATTAGGTAAACCATAGATGTAAAATTAATTTTTCTTAATTTTTGCCCATAAAAAGCAAAAGAAAGATCAAAGCTGATATGAATAGATAGAGAGATTAAGAGGGACAGTAGGATAATTTGGGGTTGCCAAATTAACAATATTTGGCCAGATCTGGCTCACTTTTTCCAAATTTATTTGATACAATTGAAAAAATGGACTGGATTTTTTATCCATTTTTGCAAATAGAAAGCAAAAGAAAGATCAAAGCTGATATGAATAGATAGAGAGATTAAGAGGGACAGTCGGATAATTTAGGTTTGCCAAATTAACAATATTTGGTCAGATCTGGCTCACTTTTTCCCAATTTATTTGATACAAATGAAAAAATGGACTGGATTTTTTTTACCCATTTTTGCAAATAGAAAGCAAACGAAAGATCAAAGCTGATATGAATAGATAGAGAGATTAAGAGGGACATTAGGATAATTTAGGGTTGCCAAATTGACAGTATTTGGTTAGATTTGGTTTACTTTTCCCTAATTTAGTTGATAAAAATGTACATTTAATTTTTCCCTTTTTTGTTGTGGCACATAAGGTCATACAAATATTTTATTCTTACAGTATTTTAAAATAACAGATTGACATGGGGATCAACTATGTAGAATTGATTTCTGCATAAATAATCTTGTAATTTTTTTGCTAGCAACACTGCCACTTTTTTTTTTTTCTCTTACGTCTGGGTTTTTCAATTCCTGTCTTTTTTTTTTTTTTTTTTTTTTTTTTTTTTAAATTCGAAAGTGTGTTGAGCAGTGATATACTTTCTATGGATAAGCAATTCATGTCAGCTATGGCCTCATCTACTGGCATTGTATAAGTTTTCTCATCCTGTGGACTGGTGCATTCCAAACTGAGGAACCATCTTTGTACAGATAAAGCAGCAAAACTGGTTTTTCTATTTGAAGCCATGAATGTCTTCTTGTCTTGTAACGGCATTCACCCGGAGTGGGTTGAGCGAGCTCCAATTGAATTAACTGCATCGTGCGTCAAGGCCATCCACCCCCGTCAATTGGCAGCAGAATTGACGGCATGATTGAGTCATTCGCGATTCCAGTGTCGGACTGTTCATTGGAGTTTCATGGGAATTTGGAATTCACAAGCGGTCCCCAAACCTGCATGTATAGGCTTTGAGGCTTGGTTTTAAGGCGCCGAACATTCGCCTTTCACACCTCCCATTTAGTTTGGGATAGGAGATGAATGCAAACACTGTTAATGTTGAATTTTTAAAATTTTATTTTGTAGTAAAAAAAAAAAAAAGTTGAATTTTTGATTCAAAATGTTTAATACTTTTCTTCCTTCATGAAATTACATAAAAACAAAAAATTGTTTTATTTCTAAATCTTTTTCTTTAAAGATTTTTTAAAATCAACTGTTTTTTTTTTTTTTAATTAAAATTGATTTAAACAGTTTGATCAACAACAGCTAGTGATCCTTTGCCATATAATTGTGGATAGAAAAACAACTTGTTCTGTGGTTGAAAGGCCATACTTTTATTTACACTTAAAATTCAGGGAGGAAGTGGTCTAGAAGTAACTACTCCCCCAAACTCCAGGTACGTCTTGCAACCTGTCACTACCGGAACCTCCTCTTATTGAGGTCTTAGTACGAGTAGAGAAATTGTATACATCGCCATCTTGTTAAGCGTGTCACATAGTTTACTGCAACTGGTATTCACCAGAGGTCATTCATCTGAGTACTGACCAAGCTCTATGTTACTTAACCTTGGTAATTGAACAAAAACTGGTGTTTCAATATATGATCATAACAGAATAAGATCTAGCAAAATAAAAGATGGTTTCCTTTATTTTAACGCATTTAAGATGAACAAGGGACAAGGTTTCCTGATTTCAAATAATTTGTGTCAAACAAGTGATAGTCTCTTCATTTTAAATTGTCTAGACCCAAGAAGGAACAAGGTTTCCTTATTTTAAATTACCTGACCAATTCTAATGGTGTATCTAGAGTTTTTCTACCAACTAGATTCATTACATCAGGCTCTTCAATAACCTCCTGGTTAATAGTTGTCTCCCCTTTTTAGGCATTTTAGTGGAAAAGATTAACTTGTTTGATTACTCTTTCTTTTCTTTTTTTTTTTTTTTTTTTTTTTTTTTTTTTTTTTTAAATCAATTCACCCCAAGCAAGGTGACAATGCCCGCTAATATGCAAGGGGCTACTAGGACTGAAAGAGAAGACTTAAGGAACTGGATACCCCTTGGAAAAAAGGGATACGCTTCTACTCCTGCTTGAAAGATTGAAGAGGTGTGTGAACTGAATGGTACTCAAACCTATCTACTCCTATTCAGGAAAAAAATAAAATAAATCGTAACTAAAATCTCAGAGTTTCCTAACATAATCAGAGAACCTGTATTAAAGATTTTGATACAGTCTTGAAATTTTACCATGCTCACATAAGTATTTCTCTCATATTTCAGGAAAGAAAGACAAAAATTGTGTGTGAAAGTTAAGGCTATGAATATGATAAAAATCCTGAAATAATTTTCAAATACTGTCCAAATTGGTAAGAGTCTAGAATAGATTGAAAATTGAAGAACCTTTATTGCTAATCAAATATTTTTTTTTTATTTTACAAAAGAACTTAGTGATTTAAAAATTCCACTGTATACCACAGCTCAATAGCTTTTTTTTCCCCCCTCTTTTAGCATTTAACAGGCTCAAACCCTCCTGTAATTATTTGTTCGCTGTTTGCATGACTTACTGCTTTATTTGTGATATCATATTATGGTAGAGCATACAAGGGGCGGGTTACAGCAGGTTGAACATCGTGGGTCACTATTTATGAGGCAGTTTGAATGCTAATGAGTTAATGTAAAACGTTTACAAAAATTCTTTAATTTTTTGCCAAACTTAAATCTTCATGCCCACAAAAAATGGTGTCAATTGACACTGCTATTATTTTTAAAGGCAATGAATAGAATTTCAATAAAAAATAACACCATGAAAATAAATTTATATATTTTCTTTAAACACTATTTACTTATTAGATTGTTTATTTACCCTAGTTATTATTTAATTTATTTGTATGGTTGGCAAAACATTGGCTAATTGCCAATTGATTTGAACTTTTATAATATGGTAAATAAGAATTTCTTTATAGTTGGTTTACATTTTTATAATTTAATAAATGTTTATAAATTTATGAAAAAAAAAAAATTAATATTTGCTTCTTTATTAATTGATAAATTATAAATATTGAATTAGTTTTAATTGTATTAGTTTTTAGAATATTGTAAATATAAAATTATTCTTGTAAATAAACAATAAATCGTGTCTATTTTGTTGTAGAGCCTCAAGAATAGAAAATTCATTTTCATCTTATGTTTAAATTTTATTACAATTCTAACCATGGTTTTTTAAAAAAACATTGTTGAGAAGTGAAGGTAGTTAAAATAATAGTGGTGTCAAGGGAAAAACTGTCCTTTTCCCATTGTTTTCTTTGTGGGCACGAAGGTCCAAGTTTACCAATTCTTCATTATTTTGTGAAATGCATCATGTCAGTGGGATAAAGAGTATGAAATTATGTTGTTGAATATATTTTTTGAAGAGTTTTTGTCAGAGTTTCCTAAGATAATAAAAGAACTAGCATTAAACGTTTTGATGTAATCTTAAAAATATTTTGATACCATAAGTCTTTTCTTCATATTTCATGAAAGAAAAGCACGAAAAATGTGTGGAAGTTTTGACTATAAATCTGATTTTAAAAAAAAAGCAAAAAAAAAAACGTCAAGGAATAAAACTTTTGAATCTCATCAAAATTGTTTCTCTGTTTTTCTCTTTTTTTCTGAAGTATTTTTATTATTTTATCATATTTTTCAAAGAATTGAAATCTATTCAAATTATTCAAATACTTTTTCTTCTTTCTGGTCAAAAAAAAAAAGAAGCGAACGATTCCACATCTGAGGTAAAGATCTTAATTCGTTATTGTTGTCAATTAGCTAATTATTGGATATCATTAACAAGTCCTTTGCAAAAAAATCTCTTCTTGGTAATTGTAGGTTAGTAGTAATTTAGGACCAAGATAATTACCTCCAGTCAGACACAAGCTGTGTGGTTGTTTGACCTTTACTTGAGACAGTCTTGGATGCTTTGTGTGTGGAGGGTGGGTGTCATAGCTCTGCACCTGGGGTGTTTTGTTTTTTCTTTTCTCTCTCTCTCTCTCTCAGCGGGTGGTGTTAGTGTATTATTTACTAATTAATCCCAGGTGATATGATACACAGACCTGGGAGGGATATTTTTTAATATGGTGGTGTGGGTGGGTTTGGCAGTTATTCATACAGCACATCTCTCCTCTCCAACACTACTGATGTTGTTGAAGGCACTGGTGTCATTGTAGGAGTTGCCAGAGTGAGGTTGTATTCAATATCTGACCACCCTTGGAAGCACTCTTTAGATTTTATCCCATGGTTTACTCAAAAAGCTAATCCTGGGTATGACAATAAACTACATCTGGCAGCAAGGCCTCTAATTGGAAGAGTGTGGAACCACCTCTTAATTGCTGTTGTTCCTGTCCACCTTGACCTGGGGTGTTAGAACCTGTTAGCAATAGGATCCCATCTATGGGCAAACAGTGAATCCCCAAACAAAAACAAAACACTATGAAAGTATAAAAATACCAGCAATACATTTTTATATTTAAAAAAAATACCAGCAATACAATTTTATATAATAAAAAAAATACTAGCAATACAATTTTATATAATAAAAAAATACCAGCAATTCAATTTTATATTTTAAAAAATACCAGCAATACATTTTATGGCAAAATGATCAACAATAAATTATTGTAGTTGAAGGTATACAAGTGCATACAAAATATTTAGATTTCAGCATTAAATAACTCATAGAGGTTGATATACCACTAAACAAAATCAACCAACATAAAAGAATGCTTTCATGACATTAATCCATATAATGTCGTACAATTTCTTAAAGAAATCAAACTATATTCCAAAATATAACTTCAGCAAAACAACATAAAACACATATATCGCTGCCTCTAGTAATTATGTCTACACAAATGTGTATATAAACAAAAGCTGAGTATCATCTACCATGTATTCAGTTGTGAAAGCAGAATAACATCATGTTTTTATTATTTCAAAGCTCCTAAGAAAATTAAATTTTGGCATTAAATGACCCATAAGGACCTGATATGCCATTAAACAAATTGATCATTTATACTCACAAAGCTTTTTATATGATTCGGTGAGGCTGCACAACAGCAGAAGCTTAAAATCAGAATGTCCCTTTTTAGATGCTCTGTCCTCCAAGACTAACAAGTTTCCTCTCCCTAATTTATCCATTACCCTCCCATTGAATATCTATATTGTGTATGGTTCTTTTATTGTTTTAAAGAAAACATCCAAAATACTTGGTACTTTTTTCTACATTACATTAAATCACCAGTTTCTGTACGATTACCAAAGTTAAACAATGTTGAGCCTTTTTAGTACTGAGATGAGTGACCGCTTAGGAATACCAAGTGCTGTAAGCGTGGATGTGCAGGTGGTGTAATGGATAATGGCTTGGAATTGTTAATCGGAGAGCTGAGTTCCAATTCCTGTTGGGTTTGTTATATTTACTTGTGCACAAATACTCTTGGGGAAAAGTATGAATCCACCTCCTCTCTCCCCAGCTGAGGGTTAATTAATAAGACTTGTATCACTAAACCTTTATTCTCTCAAAAAAAAATATTCTTACAATGCAAATATATTTTCTGGCTTTAAATAACCTGTAAAGGGTTGATAAACCATAAAAAGCAAATCAATCAATCAAATATTTGGATTCTACTCATTTGTAAACTAATGACTATTTCTCATCAAGACATTCATTAGTGCTCATCTATAGATCTTTTGAAAGAATTATCGTATTTTCCAGCTTACATGACATACTTGTTTTCTTTTTTAAAAAAAAAATAAAAAAACTTGAAAAATACATGTGTGTCTTCCAAGACAAATGTAAGGCAATACCCAGGCTCAACAGTCACCTAATTGGCTTGACTGATAGTGACATGGATTTGTATGTTACGTCATTACACTCTAATGTTAGCTATCTATCTAATTCGGCCTTTTATATGATGTAACCTCAGTACTTAGCTGTTACAAGTATTTCCAAGACTATAAACCTTCCTGGAGCCGAGCCACAAGCTTAAATATGCTCTGTTTCCTAGCAGCAGCAGGAGCCGTTCTGCTCATCACTAGTATGTCATTGCCATGCAAACAAAATCAGACAAGTGATTCATGTAAACAATACATGACACCAGTATGTGAGAGACATATGGTGAATATGTATCATAATGATTTTTTTTTTTTTTTTCTTTTAGAAATTTCTTTCTAATATTAGGGTGTATCTTCCAAGCTGGAAAATACGATAATTCCTGTGGAAAACAAAGTTGTTAAACTTATTGTGTAACAGGAAGACATCAAACATCGAAAAAATATTATATTAAGTGTTTTTTCCTACAAAAGGACTTCTTTTATGTGCCATTTTTCTTCAGGATCTCCACAGTTTCCTGACTTTTTAGCTTTTGATAAATTCTGTCTTTTTGTTACCTTTCTATAACCCTGTTCTGCTCATTATTATTCTTCTATGTGCTGTGTCACTTCAGGACATAGGCGATCATGGCTCTCCACAATTTCCTATCCTTATTTATTTTATTTATTTTGAGAGGGTGCTATCTCTACTAATCCCTGTTTTGCCAACAAGCTCATAAGGTAGGTTTCTTCTCTCCCTCTTGCCTTCAATATATTCTGTGAGTGTCAAATTTTCTAAGCCCTCTTTCCTCATGTGCCCTAGATCCTTTTTGTTTCCATTTTCTCCAAAGCTTTGTATTTGCTCATGTGTTCAATAGATTGTATTCCCAACATCCTTGTGTAGAACCACGTTTCTGTTGCCTGCAGTCTCTTCATCTGTGAGGAGATTGTCAAACATTCACTGAGATGTAGGAGGACTGATATTACAACAGTTCAGTACTCATCTCTTTGTTTCTAATGAAATTTTCCTGTTTCTTAATACTTTGCTGGTGTCTCTAATTTGCAGTTTACATATGGGACTCTTTCTTTTCCTTTTTTTTCTTTTTCTTTTCCTTTTTTTTCTTTTTCTTTTCCTTTTTTTTCTTTTTCTTTTCCTTTTTTTCTTTTTCTTTTCCTTTTTTTCTTTTCCTTTTTTTTCTTTTCCTTTTTTTTTTTTTTTTTTTTTTTCCTTTTTTCTTTTTTCCTTTTTTTTTTTTTCCTTTTTTTTTTTCCTTTTTTTTTTCCTTTTTTCTTTCCTCTTTTTTTTTTTCTTTTCTTTTTTCTTTTCCTCTTTTTCTTTTCCTCTTTTTCTTTCCTCTTTTCTTTTCCTCTCTTTCTTTTCCTCTCTTTCTTTTCCTCTCTTTCTTTTCCTCTCTTTCTTTTCCTCTCTTTCTTTTCCTCTTTTTTTTTTCCATTTCCATCTGAATCTGCCATCTGCCATGAACTTTATTTCTAATTAGATTTTCCTTTACAAAAGGTAATATTCTGATATGCTGTATGACCCTGAAAATAAATTCATCATAGAAGGCTCTGAAAAATGCCTGAAACAGAATTGAGCAATTATATGTATAATATTTATTTTTCTTTGTTTTCAGTTCTTCGTGTGAAAGTTAATTCTAAGAGTAATGTGGAACGCCAACTCTTTGTTAAGCCTCATTCTGCAAGAGAAGTTGATGCCTACAGACCAAAAGAGAGAACACTTTTTGTTCTAAATATCCCTCCGTATATTGACAAGGTAGGTTGATGGAAATTGTTTTTTAATGTACTGCATTTCCTGGTCTGTGGGATGCATTTTGAAACACAAATTTTACTCTGCATTCAAGACACTGGTATTATGAATAGAAGACCAATTGTGAAAGGGTTGAGTTTCAAGGTCAAGGTTATTCACAATTATCAGAAGAAAAAAAAATAGTTTTAGAAGTCAGTAGGACTGTCTTATGCATTTAAGCTTTGTGCTGTAAAAATGCAACATGCTCCTCTCTCGGCATTTCAACAACTTAACACATGAAACCTTGTTCCATTTTTATTCTTGTTTATGCTGGTGTGCACCAGAAACTGGGACAAGGCCTGTTGCAACTTCACAAGGAAACGAAAGGTGAAAATAAATGACAGCAAGAAATGAGGGCCCAAACCCTGCCTTCAATACATTTCATTGTTTAATTCAACAATTCTCTTACGTGGTGAGATAGGTGACACTTGGGGTCTGCTTCTGACATCTCTGACAGACAAATTGGCTTTTCCTCTTATCTATTCCTCTTGCCCAATATACCATTTCAACATCATGGTGTGCAGGCAGCATTGGACCTACCCCCGAAAGACCGTCTTTTTCTCTTAACAGAGGATCCAAAACCCCCCTCAATTCCAAACAACTGGAAATCCTCAAGCAAATTCATATTTGAAATATTAAAATAGGTGAGACAACTATAAGGAAACCCTTATTATTTACCATTTTATAAAGTGTGAATCAATTTGCAATTAGCCATTGTTTTGCCAACCATTCCAACAAACAATCTAATAAATAGTGTTTATTATTTTTGTTGTAAATTCTCAAGAACAAAGAAAATGTATCAATACACTTTCCTATGTTTGACCTGTTATTATCTTGTCAAACATGTCAACATGTCAGTTAAAACCACAGCTCCTGTCATTAAAAAATGCATTTCTGTGATATTTTAAACTGAAATATTCATTTCAAATCAGATTAATTTTACATTAAATCACCTAATTTTTCTCATGTAAAGTTTCAGAAAATTTTTTAATAAAGAGAATTCAAAAGGGGTGCTAATCAGTTAGGGAAAAAAAAGAAGAAAATTCTTTCCAGTTAATTTAATAATTTATTTTTGAAAATACAGTATTTTTCTTATTGGAAATATTAAATTTAAACTAATTAGCTTGCAATTAAAACTAAAATAAAAGCTTCAAGAAAGATTTAAAAAAAAAAAAAAAATTATAAACCTTAGATTACATTGTTTGTTTGTTTTGTTTTTTTTTTTATGGGGGGGGCTGTTTTTTGTGAAGGTACCTAATTTAAACTTGCACCAGAAAGACATGGGTTCATATTTTTCGCCTTATTCCTTCCTGCATTCAAAGGTTACCTTTTCAGCTCAAGGGGGAATAACTCTGCTTAGTCTAATGTCTATAATGCCACACTTAGGAACTAAAATTAATCAACTGAAACCTCCTGTGATTTGAACGTACAACATGGAGATAGACAAATACCATTTCACTGTGGGTCAGTACACACTTCATTATTTTATTATCCTCTTTATCCTTGCTTCCTACGACCCCATCTGTCACTCATATCACAGCTAACCATTTTAACAGTTGCAGCTCATGAGCCTTGTATTGAGTGAACTTTAATATAAAAAGATTACTAGTTTTATTCTCTCTTATTATTCTTGTTTTTTAGCCCAATATTCTGGCTCTATACACTCTTCATTATTACTATTATTTTATTACTAGTTTTATTCCATCTTATTATTGTTGCTTTTCATTCCAACACTCTGGCTCTATACACTCTTCATTATTACTATTATTTTAGTACTAGTTTTATTCCATTTTATTATTGTTGTTTTTTATCCCAACACTCTAGCTCTATACACTCTTCATTATTACTATTATTACTAGTTTTATTCCATCTTGTTGCTTTTTATCCCAACACTCTGGCTCTATACACTCTTCATTATTACTATTATTTTAGTACTAGTTTTATTCCATCTTGTTGCTTTTTATTCCAACACTCTGGCTCTATACACTCTTCATTATTACTATTATTTTATTACTAGTTTTATTCCATCTTATTATTGTTGCTTTTTTATTCCAACACTCTGAATCTATACACTCTTCATTATTACTATTATTTTAGTACTAGTTTTATTCCATTTTATTATTGTTGTTTTTATCCCAACATCTAGCTCTATACACTCTTCATTATTACTATTATTACTAGTTTTATTCCATCTTGTTGTTTTTATCCCAACCTCTGGCTCTATACACTCTTCATTATTACTATTATTTTAGTACTAGTTTTATTCCATCTTGTTGCTTTTTATTCCAACACTCTGGCTCTATACACTCTTCATTATTACTATTAGTGTTAAATTCTCCAAACCATAATTTCTCAAGCCTGTGAATAAACCTTAGGTATCTTTTTCTTTTTTTTTTTGTGAAGGTACCTAGTTTAAACTGACACCAGGAGGACATCTAGTTTTATTCCATCTTGTTATTGTTGCTTTTTATCTGAAAACTCATGGTCAATACACACTTCATTATTAATGTTATTTTATTACTAGTTTTGTTCCATTTTATTGTTGTTGCTTTTTTGTCTCTGCATTCTGTGTCAGTGTTAAATTCTCCAAACCATCATTTCTTGAGCTTTGTATTAGGTGAACTTTAGAACAAAAAGATGACTAATTTTATTCTGTCATAGTTTTTTATTTAAATATCTTATTCTTATAATTTTATTACAAGTTATAATTCATTTTGATTACTTTCTGTTGCTTATTAACATATATATTTTTGGTAATGTTTAACCTTCATGGCCAGAAAAAAAAATGGTGTGCCAAAAGGACAGTTTTTCCCTTGACACTGCTATTATTTTAACTACCTTCACTCCTCAGAAATGTTTATTGTTTCAAAAAGTGATGATTAGAATTTTAATAAAACCTAAACACTATTTATTACATTGTTTATTGGAGGGGTTGGCAAAACATTGGCTAATTTCCACTCAATTGGAATTTTATAAAATGGTAAATAAGGATTTTCTTATAGTTGGCTCACATATTTCAATAATTTAGAAAATTTTTATAAATTTATGAATAAAAAATTGTTTTCATATTTCTTTATAAATTGGTAAATGATAAATATTGCATTGGTTTTAATACAATTGTATTAGTTTTTAGAATGTAAATGTAAAATTATTCTTGTGAATAAAAAATCTAATAAATAGTGTTCAATATTTTTGTGAATTCTCAACAAAGAAAATATATAAATTCATTGTCATCAATTACAATTCTAATCATCACTTTTTATAACAATAAATATTGCTGAGTAGTAAAGGTAGTTATAATAATAGTGGTATCAAGGGAAAATGACAAATTGTTTTTCTTTTTTTGTGTACACAAAGGTTAAAGGTTGCCTATTTTTGTCTTTTTATCAGGAATGTATTGAGAAATTCTTTGCTAGTTTTGGTGCCATTGAAAACGTCTATTTACACAGTAAACCAAACAGATTTCTCCAGTGTTAAAGAATTCATATTTTTGCTAAAGCAGAAAATCCCAAAAAATCATTTATTGCTGATTAATCACCAAAAGTGTTACCTTTTAATTACCCAAATATTAGTATGACATTTTGGGAGAATAAAATTTTGCTTGTTGTCAATTTTGTCAGCCTTCTTCAGGAGTATATGATATCAGTTTATTCCTGAGAAGTTTTATCCATTGATTGTTGCTCTATTTAAATATCAAAGCTTTGGGTTTGCACAGATAAGTGGAATGTAGTTGTAATTTACAAATAGGACACAAATTTTATTATTGCAGGAAAAGGAAATTGTATTCTTTATTTTTCTTTCCCATAGGAATATAATACAATGGAATTCATAGGTTTTGATAATAAAGAAAAGAAAACAGATACTGTTCTTTATAATTTCAAATAGTGGCCTATCCATGACTAACAGGAACCATGGAAATCCCATCATGGGTATCATTGAAATTTAGGAATAGAATACAAATTTTATATATATATATATATATATATATATATATATATATATATATAAATATTTAATGAAAGCATGTATATATTTTAATATGTATATATAGAAAAAATTGCAAATTAAAAAATAATAATGTTTTTTTTGAAAGCATATTTGTATATATATTTGATATTTCAGATTGGCCTCAATCTTTCTTCAGAGAAATAACTGTTTGTTTACAAGTAGCATCCGTTATTCATTCGGATGTCACGTTATATGGAGCGAATATTCATGATTTTGTTATTAAAATTTTTCTAAAATTCCAAATATAAATTTTTTCTTATCACAAATATCATCTTTTGACAGTTTTTTTTATAATTAAATTATTTTTTAATTTGCATACATTGATATATATATATATATATATATATATATATATATATATATATATATATATATATTTATAATTTTTTTTTTTTTTTTTTATTATAAGAGATTATAATGAAAACGTTGAAATCGTTACACAAAAATTTACGTTTGAATACTTTGATTGCACTTCTTCCAGTGATGGTAAGTAACTGGTGATTAAATGATTTTTAAGAAAATTTAAAAACAAAGTGTTGCCTCTTTTCCGAAAGTTAAAGTTTGGGGGGTGGGGACATAAGGTCAGAATTAAATTTAGACTTGTGAGTATGTCTTCATTAACCAATTAAATGTCAGATCTGCACTCTTTGTATTGAGCTTCTTTTTCTTTTTTTAAGTAAATGTTACAGTCGAATTTTACTCCATCTTTCTCTCATTTGGAGATATATAAAGAGAGAGACAGGAGTAAAACTTAGCTGAAGCGTTTTGCCCTCTGATGGATTTATCAAGGCAAATGTAAGGATTTTATTTTGCAGCAAGTATATATATATATATATATATATATATATATATATATATATATATAAAAAAAAAATTAAAATGTTAGTTTTTCAAAATTTTTAAAGAGACACTCATAAATATTCATCAGGTTAACTGAAAAGTGTACACAAATTATGGAAGTGCTAAGTGACATAATTTAATGTCTAATAAACAAACATAAGTAAATTCTTTTTTATTAAATAATGTAATTAGTATTTATATTTTAATTTGGCATTAATTTATGTATTTTATATTTTTTACAAATAGGTTACAAATTTAACTGTTTTTTAATTTTTTAACATTTTATAGTCATATGGTTGCTTTTGTCTTTATTCATATTGTCCTTTTACAGATATATTTTTAGGTATATCTGAAATTAGTTATATATATATATATATATATATATATATATATGGCTTCGAAAATGACAGAATACATTCTTTAAAGGGACCTTTTATCGTCCTACACTTCTCCAGAAAGATTCGTTAGAATAACAATAATCAAAATGGCAAAACTGAAAAAGGTAGACATTAGGGGTAATTAAAGAAAATAAATTTATTACTAAAAAAAGAGTAAAAAAAAAAAAAAATCTGTGTAAATAATCCCTTACTGAGTATAAAACATGAAAAGAATTACTGAAGACTCAGCCACGAGACAGGATGAAGAAAGTTCTCTTTCTGCCCGCACAAAGTTGGTCAATGAAGTATGATGTAAACAGCCTCTAAAAACCTTAAATGTTTAACTGACTGGGCCTTGTGCAGCATTCTAAATGCTCTGTCAACATTATTATCGGGTTATTAATTAAATGAAGCCCAATCACTGACACTAAATATGATAGTCGAGTGATTATTGTTACTTGCTACATCCTGTCTTGTATAGACGAGCACGTGTTGTTCAATTGGGTTTCTAACTGCAAGTTGGTTTACCCCACAGATAAAAGAAAACTCCTGGTCAAGCCAAACCAGAATAGTACTTTTGAACACAGATTTTTCCTGATTCTTGAAATGCTTGACTAGAAGATATCTTAGCCTTATGTTTTTCTGTTTCAGGGCTACAAATTGGCTTATGTTGTCTTTAAAAATGGATCCGGAGTGAAAAACGTCCTAAAGTTTCCAAAGCAAGATGTCAAAATTTTAATAGATGAAAACTCTGGAGATTCTTTATTGGTTGGAATAGAAAGTAAGTCTATTTAACATCCTTTTTATCATGCGTCTATCTGAACTCCTCTTTGTCTTGCCTCTATTTGACCTTCTCTCTTTATCACGCATCGGACTGACCGCCTGTCTTTATCTTCTTACCTCCTCCCTTTACAATGCCTCTGTCTGACCTCTTTATAATACGTCTACCTGATCTCATTTTTATCTATTTACCTTTGTAAGTATTTGGTAACCAAAAAGTTTGTCCATCTAAAATGAAAATTAAAGATAATTTTCTTTTATTTTTCTAATTAATTTGTTGAAAAATGTATTGTTGACCAATTAATTTTTTTTTTTTTTTTTTTTTGTTATCCTGTGACCCATAGTGTTGTAGGGGCACTGTAGTTACTGCAGCCACAGTAGAAGTAGTGTTTCTTGGGCAATATAGCCTGACGGAGTCCAACTCTCTTCAGGCTGGTTTTGAATTCAGTTTTTCCTTCTCCTAGGCCGGTTACCACCCAAGGTTATAAAACTCAGTCTGTCCTGCTATTTACCCATAGCTGGAAGGAAAGTATCTTTCTTTTGTCTCGGGTCTCCCCTTCATCTGTCCTATGTGCCTTCAGATTTCAGTGTGTTATTTTCATTCTCTGTTAAAGCACTCCCCAAATATTTAAATTTTTTTCACTTGTTTAATTTTGGTATCTCCAATTTATTGGCAGCTATACATTCTTCCTTCTTTGAATTGATCTTTCGTCTTTTCTTTTCACTTTTCTTTATTACCTTTTGTATATATACCTGTAGTTTCCTTTCTATGTCTGCTATCAACACTGTCATCTGCATATCTAATGTTAAGATTGTGGGCAATAATAATAAATCCTGGTAGGACTTCTAGTTCTCTTAGGATTGCCTCATTGTAAAGATGAGTAGACGCATCCTTGCTTACATGCCTTTCTATTTTTGTGTATTTACTGAATTCATTTTCTTTCCATATACAGGTGGTTTTCTCCCAGTATAAGTTTTGGATTATTTGAATATCCTTCCCAAATGAATTAAGCTTACCTAGCAGTTTAACAATTCTTTATGGCATAATTTATCAAATTCTTTTGCGTAATCTATAAAACACGAGTACGCATCCTTCTACATTTGTATTGCTCTTTCTGATATTCTGAGCATGAATATTACATTCCTTGTTCCAGTGTCTTTAACAAAAATGCACTGTTCTTATCCTATTTCTGGCCTAATTCTAATGTGTGCGCATCCTGGGTATGACGATAAACTACATCTGCGTTCTGGGTATGACGATAAACTACGTCCAACAGTAAGGCCTCTGATCAGGAGGTTTTGAGGAGCATGGAACCACCTCTTAATTGCTGGTGTTCCCCAGGTCCTCCCTGACCTGGGGGTGGTAGCACCTGTTAGGGTCCCAGCTATGGGCAAATAGTTAACCCCAAAACTGAGGTAAAAAAGCATTATGAAAGTGTAAAAATAGGTTTTAATACCAGAAATACTTTGTAAAAAATTATTACCAGAAATAAATTTTTTGGGAAAAAAAAAAAACCAGCAATATTTTTTGAAAAAATTACCAGCAATACATTTTTAAAATAATATTATAGCTATACATTTTTGAAAAAAAATATTACCAGGAAATAAATTTTTTTTAAAAAAATATTACCATAAAACAAAAATGTGTGTCAAAAATATTTTTGAATTTGATTTGTATTAAATAAGACTGATTGTCTGATGGTTTTATCCATTTAAAATATTTCTTTTTAGCATAAAATGGATTACTTTTTTTTAAAAATTATTGTAAATTTCTTTTATGTCTGTCCAAAGATTTGGTAATATAAACATCAAAGCTGCCAGCATTTAAAATTCCATCTGGTCCTACTCCTGGGAATTATTCACTTATTCAATTTCTCCAGTGCTGATTTCACTTCAGATTTTAATATTTCTGATCCTTCAATATTTCTTTCATCATGGAAGAGTTCTCAGATGTATTCATTTCATCTCTAAAGTATTTTTTCTCTTTCTCTATTATTGGCGTTCTGGTGATGAGTATGTCTTTTGTCCTGATAATAATTTTTCCTTGATGATTCCAGTTACAGCAAAGCAAAATGCTGCTACGACTTTTGCTTTCATTGACCTTTAGGATAACAATGGAATTTTTATTTTAAAATGCTTTTTTATCTGAACTCCAAATAGTAAATCCTCCCAGCTGTTTTCATTATCATTAATATTCTTCTATAAATTTCTCATTTCTTAACTAATGCATCTTTTTAATGCATTTCATTTAAAATCAATTCATCTTGCATTTTTTCATTACTAAAACCCTAATCTCTCCTTTTCATTCATTCTGAAAATCATACACATTTTCAATGTCCAATAACTATCTTATTTCATTCCTTTTTCTTTCATTTTCAATGCATTCTTATAGTAAAATCATTAGCAATTTTTCCATTATATATATATATATATTCTATAATGCTTTTTCATTCCTGACCACTGAAAATCCCTTCTTCCTGTATTTTGCTTATAGTAAAATCATTATGCATTTCCATTATATATATAATAGCCCTATTCTATCAGTAATGCTTGCCTTCATTCCTGACCACTGACAATCCCTTTCTTCCTCATTTTCAATGCATTCCTATAGTAAATCATTAGCAATGCATTTTCCATTATACATTATATTTCTATCAGCAGCGTAATTTTCTATCAGTAATGCTTGCCAATGCATTCCTGACCAATGACAATATATTTTATATTTTTCAATGCATTCCTATAGTAAAATCATTAAATAATTTCCATTAAAATAATTCAATGCATTCCAATTCCAATGTATTTCCATTATACAGTAAAGCTATCATATTTATTTCATTCCTGACCACTGGCATTCCTTATTCCTCATTTTCAATTCATTCTTAAAATCATTAGCAATGCATTTTCACATTATACATATAATAGCCCTATTCTATCAGTAATGCTTGCCTTCATTCCTGACCACTGACATCCCCTTTCTTCCTCATTTTCAATGCATTCCTATAGTAAAATCATTAGCAATGCATTTCCATTATACATATAATAGCCCTATTTCTATCAGTAATGCTTGCCTTCATTCCTGACCACTGACAATCCCTTTCTTCCTCATTCTCAATGCATTCCTATAGTAAAATCATTAGCAATGCAATTCCAGTATACATATAATATCCCTATGATATCATTAATGCTTGCCTTCGTTCCTGACAACTGACAATGCCTTTCTTCCTCATTTTCAATGCATTCCTATAGTAAAATCATTAGCAATGCATTTCCATTATACATATAATATTCTATCTATTCTATCAGTAATTTTTTCTTCTCATTTCATTCCTGACCACTGACAATCCCTTTCTTCCTCATTTTCAATGCATTCCTTCATAGTAAAAAATTAGCCCCATAAAACAATTTCCATTAAACATATATTTCCATATATATATTCTATTCTATCAGTAATGCTTGCCTTCATTCCTGACCACGGATAATCCCTATCTTCTGACAATCATTCCATATTAAAATCCTTAGCAATTTTCAATATACATTCCTATAGTAAAATCATTAGCAATGCATTTCCATTATACATATATAGCCTATTCTATTCAAAATGCTTGCCTTCATTCCTGACCACTGACAATCCTTTCTTCCTCATTTTCAATGCATTCCTATTGTTGTATAGTAAAATTCATTATTCCGACCAATGCATTTCCATTCATTAGCAATATATTATAATATAATAGTTCTATTCTATCAGTAATGCTTGCCTTCATTCCTGACCACTTGATAAAGCTGTCCTCATTTTCAATGCATTCCTATAGTAAAATCATTAGCAATGCATTTCATTATACATATAATAGCCCTATTCTATCAGTAATATTTGCCTTCATTCCTGACCACTGACAATTATTTCTTCTCATTTCAATGCATTCCTATAGTAAAATGCTTAACAATGCATTTCCATTATACATATAATAGCCCTATTCTATCAGTAATGCTTGCATTCATTCCCTGACCACGGACAATCCTTTAAATGCATTCCTATAGTAAAATCATTAGCAATGCATTTCCATTATACATATAATAGCCCTATTTTATCAGTAATGCTTGACTTTATTCCTGACCACTGACAATCCCTTTTCTTCCTTCATTTTCAATGCATTCCTATAGTTAAATCATTAGCAATGCATTTTTATACATATAATAGCCCTATTTTATCAGTAATGTTTGAATTCCTGACCACTGACAATCCCTTATCTTCCTCATTTTCAATGCATTCCTATAGTAAAATCATTAGCAATGCATTTCCATTATACATATAATAGCCCTATTCTATCAGTAATGCTTGCCTTCATTCCTGACCACTGACAATCCCTTTCTTCCTCATTTTCAATGCATTCCTTAGTAAAATCATTAGAATGCTTTATTTATACATTAATAGCCCTATTCTATCAGTAATGCTTGCCTTCTTCCTAACCACTGACAATCCCTTTCTTCCTCATTTTCAATGCATTCCTATTGTAAAATCATTAGCAATGGCATTTCCATTCTACATATAATAGCCCTTATTCTATCAGTAATGCTTGCCTTCATTCCTGACCACTGACAACCTTTATCTTCCTCATTTTCAATGCATTCCTATAAATAAAATCATTAGCAATTATTTAATTATAAGATTTAATAGCTGTCTATTCTATCAGTAATGTATGCCTTCAATTCCTATAATACTCTTTAATCCTTTCTTCCTCATTTTTAATTCATTAAACCTCATCATTTTTGTTCTCCCAATATTAAAGACATATAATATCTCTAATCTTTTATCAGTAATGTTTGATCATTCCTCACCTCGCTGGGAGATGATGATAAAAACAAAACAAATCTTCTTCTAATTTTGTGGTTTTTGAAGAGTGTGAAACCATATCTTAATTGCTGTTGTCCCCAGGTCCACCCTGGCCAGGTGTTATAGCACCTGTTAGGGTCCCAGCTATGGACAAATAGTTAACCTTCAAACTGGAGTTAAAACACTATGAAAGTATAAAAATACATTTTTGTAGTAGAAGTGCTAGCAATATATTTTTTATGGGAAAGGGGGAATACCTAATAAAAGAAAAAATTAGTTAAAATAAATACATTTTTGCAAAAAACGTTCTAATGCTTTCAAGAGGACATGGTGAGGTGTGGATAGTGGCTCAGATTGAGGAATCTGAGATATTTGAGTTCAAATTCCACTTGAATCCATTACATTCATTTAAAAATTAATTTACTTGGGAAATATGAATCCTCTTCTCACCACAAGCTATGGGTAAATAGCAGGACAAACTGGGTTCTATAGTCTTGGATGGTAACTGGTCTACCACAGAAAGAAATCACAATCTTCTGCGGGGTAAAAAATCTGCCTCGTCAGTCATGTATCGAAAGATACGTGATCTCCTATGCATGTATCACGCATGGCACATAACTGACTGAATCCTCACAAGAAAATTAAATTTTGGCATTAAATGACCCATAAAGAGTTGATGTCATTAAACAAAACAAACTTAAATCATTACTGACCTGACAATCCCTTCTTTTTTGATTTTCAATATATTCCTATAGTAAAATAATCTTCAACTTCAACCTTTGTAAATTCCTTTGATTCACAATACAATATATAGGTTGAGTGCTAAACCTTGTTGCAATTTACTTTTTGAGTTCTCTCCCCTTGAATTTGCTAAATCTTTGGCCAGTCTTTTTAAGTGTTTTTGAATATTTTTTTTTGCAGTGAAATTTTCTTTTCATATTATTCTAATATTTAATCTATTTCAATTGCTGCAATGTTATACAAAATTACTTGTGTCATATATCCTTCCTTAAATTGATGTACAAGGTTTTTTTTTTTTTTTTTTTTTTTTTTTTACCATTTTATCCCCAAGCAAGACAATAAAGCCACTAAAATACAGAGGGTTACTGAAGGGAACAGCAAAAGAGAACAATAAAAGAACAGGAATTAAGAAGACAATAGATAATGATTGTATTATATACCATACCTATGAACACTAATAGGCCGTCCTGGATATGATGATAAACTACATCCGTGTCCTGGGTAAGACAATAAATTACATCCAACAGCAAGGACTCTGTTCAGGAGATTTTGAGGAGGAATGTGGAACCACCTCTTAATTGCTGGTCTTCCCAGGTCCACCCTGACCCTGGGTGGTAGAACCTGTTAGGGTCCCAGCTATGGGCAAATAGTTAACACCCAAACTTGGGTCAAAATACTATGAAAGTGTAAAAAATAGGTTTTAATACCAGAAATACTTTATAAAAAAATTATTACCAGCAATACATTTTTGGGAAAAAAAAAAAAATTACCGGCAATAAAAATTTTATCAACCCATTGAGGTTGATATTCCGTAAAACAAACCAAACACTAATGGGTATGTCTCAATCCTCATAAACACATTGGATACTATTGTAAGTTGGGGTAATCTGCTGTCTTAGTTCATCATTAGCAGTGGTTTACCTACTTCACGCTGCTGGCGAGTATTGTATTTTGTTGATATTATAAAGATTACCATTTCATTTCCAACCAGCGTTGGTTATTCTTCATTCAGTAACCTTTTCTAGGTTACAACAGATTGACATTGCATTTAAATTTTTTAAAATTAAAGATGACTGCAAAGCATGAAGCTAGAAGAATTCAACAAGCGAGAAGTAGGAAAAAAGAAACTGTTTTAACAGAAAATGTTAGTTACATTTAGCCATTTCAAATGTAAAATAAGGAGATCTTGCTGCCAATCTAAATTTTGTAAAGTCGAAATACCAAAGACAAAAGCTCATCAGAATAATTATCATGAAAATATTCATAGAAAAGTCATGGAATCTGTTAAAGCAGTGGGAAAGTGACTGAAGCTGAGACACCAGGTCAAGACCAATAATATTGCAGATTCTTCACAGTGAACCAACTTTCCTAGCAACAGATCTAGCAATTGGTTCAATATAATCTTTCCACTTCATGTTATCATCACAAGAAGGCACAATGAGCCACCCTATTGGCATCAACCATGTTGATGGACGTCAAGAAAAATTCTCTTGTACAATTAAAAGCAAGCAGTAGTTTTGGAGAACACTGTTTTTCGAAATTAACTTAAGCCAGTTAGCAACAGGTCATTTTTGGGATAACTGCCAATTGATCTTATTGAAGTGATTAAACTTACCATTAGGCAGGAGTAAATAGTTGTTTTGTTATTTGATAAGGACTGAATCATTTCAAACATTTGTCCACAAATACCATAACATTTCAACGTGTGAAGACCCATATGCCAAACCCTGTCAAATGTCTTTGAGATATCCAAACCAACAGCCCCAACTTCACCATTCTTATTTAAAACTTGATAAATACTTTCAGCAATAATCATTAATACATCAGCTGCTGACTTCGAGAAGCAAAAGATATTACTTATCTTTAGAGAGAACAAGAGTACATTTCTTGAGGATTCATATACCTGAAGAAGGTTGGAACATGCAATGGCTGAAACGTGAATATGGCAATAAAGATGACAACAACTATTTGAACAATGTAAATAGTTACAATACCTCAGATTCTGAAGAAGGCTGGAGTGTACAATGGCTGAAACATGAATATAGCAATAAAGATGAGGACAACAGTTTGAACAATGTAAACAGTTGCAATACCTCATCTCGGATATATAGACATTGGTTCTTTTGTTTATTACAGAATCAAATCAAAATCCACATGCTTTTTTAAGAAAAGTTTATCTATTGTTTGTTTGTGTGTATCTCTTTGTTGTCATAATTTTAATTTTCAAGTTCTTATCCAAAAATATGTCAAAAATACCATTATCCAGTAAAAGATGTGTACTTTTTTTTTTTTTTTGTGAGGAGTAAATTAAAACATTTTTCCAGGCATTTTTAAACTATGACAATAAATGTGAGAATTTATTTTATGCCCTTTATTTTTGAATTTTCTAGTGAATCATAATTCTTACTTTAATGATTTGCATATGTTCCTTGCAATTTCCACAAATATAAAATACCTTTGGAATTTCCCCTATTACTTCATTTCTTTAAAGAAGTAAGAGGGTACAAATGAAAAGATTCCAAATTGGCAGGATTTTCCATTTTCACTGAAGCAGATGTTAAATGGATGAGTGTTATCCCCATCTTCATTCATTCTTTCTCCTTTTCACAGTCAAAATGGAATGGTCCACTATGTATCTTATGCAATGACAGGGTGTATAATGTATATCAAATAATTTCCTTATATTCTAAATAAGAATAAAATAAGCATTTTTTTCTATTTATGTGCATATTTCGGAAAATCTATTATTTACCTTATGCAATGGTAGAACATAATGAGCAAAGGAGGGGAACACAAAATTATAATGTTGCTTCTCTGTGAAATTTATTTTTGAATATTGTGGAAGTTGAAATACAAGATGATGTTTATAACGAAGGTAAGATTTTGCAGAATATTCTCAAGAATAAATCAACAACATGTTAATTCACAAGAAACGAATTTACTTCAAAATGATGCCTTTTTCTGATTTTAAAAAATTTAGATTTTTCTATTTTTCAACCCAAGACTTTTTTCTTTTTTTTTCTTTTTTCTTCTTTTTTTTTTCTTTATAGTCTTTTTTTTTTCTTATCCCAAACTTAAGTTTTGGATGAAAATCTCTTTTCTTTTTAAATACTTTTTTTTTTCAAATTTTAGGAGTTTTTTTTTTTTTTTTTCTTTTTTAATTAAAAAAAAGTTTTTTTTAAATTTTCTCTTTTTCTATTAATGGCTCGATCAAAGAATGCCAAATTTTTCCCAATATTTTCTTCAACAATTTTAAAAGTTGATGAGAATTTTTTTAAAACCAAAAGGCTTTTTTTTTTTTTGAATTTTCAATCTTTTTTTAAGATAAATTTGATTTTCCAAGCTCTTATTTTTTCCTCTTCTTTTTTTATAATGGAACAAAAAAATCTTTTTCATTAAATAATCTTTTTAGATTTGAAACATTTTCAGAATTATCAATTCTGTTTGCACCATTGGGTTAGTTTTTCTTTTTTTGATTTCTATTTATTTTTAAAAAATTTTTATCTTTTTTTTTCTTTTTTTTTAAACTTCTTTATTTTTTTTTTTTTTGTTTTTTCTTTTTTCCTTTTCTCTTGAATTTTCTTTTTCTTTTTTTTTTTTTTGTTCTTTCACCCTTTTTTTATTTTTTTTTGCTTTTTTTTCTTTTTTCTTTTTTTCTTTTTTCCCTTTTTTTTTTTTTTTAAAGAGAAGTCTTCTTTCTTTTAGGAAAGTTGTTTTTCTTTTTTTCTTTTGTTTATTCAGCTTTTTTTTCCTCTTCTTTCTTTTCTTTTTTCTATTCCTTTGGTTCTCCTTTTTTTTTCTGTTTCCTTCCCAGGATTTTTTTTTTCTTTTTCTTTCCTTTTCTTCTTTTCAGAATTTTTCATATACCACAAATTTTTCACAGCGTTCTTTGGGTTCAGAGATTCTCTTTCATCTTTTTTTCTTTTTTTTTTTCTTCTTTTTTTTAAATTATTTTTTTTTTACTTTTAAAAAAAATCCAAAATTCCTTTTTTTGCGTTTTCTTTTCCATCATCAAACACATGTTTTTCAAATTTCCCATTTCTTTCTTTTATTTTCTTCTTTTTTATCTTTGTTTTGTCAAATTTTACCATTCGGTAGAACAAATTTTTTTTTTTAAATTATTTTTTTTTTAAAAAACTTTCTTCACATTTTTTTTAAAAATTTTCATTTTTTCTTTTTTTAACTTTTGAAAATCCTTTTTGAATTTGAAATGATTTCTGGAAAATTTTTTTTTCTTTCTTTTTAAAAAAGTTTAAAACTCTTTTTCTGTCTTTTTTTTTTGCCATTTTCCTTTTCTTTTTTTTTTTTTTTTTTCCTTTTCTTTTTTAAATTTTTCCAATTTTTCTTTTATTTTTTTTTTTCTTCCTTCCCCGTCTTTAATTTTTTTTTTTGTAATTTTTTTTTTTTTTTTTTTTCTTTTCCTTTTATTCATTTTTTTTCTTGAAAATTTTTTTCTTTCTTTTTTTTTTTTTTTCTTTTTTTTTTTCTTCCTTATTTTCTTTCCTTTTCACATCAAATCTTTTTTAAATTTTTTTTTTGACTTTTTTTTTTCTTTCCCCATTCCTTTTCATTTTTTTTTTTCTTTTTATTTTGTTTTTTTTTTTGAAAGGTCTTTTCTTTCTTTCCCTTTTTTTTTTTCCCATTTTCTTTTTTTTTTTTCTTTTTTTTTTTTGGCCAACGGGAGCCTTTTTTTTTTTTTTTTATAAAAAATTTCTTTTCAATCTTTTTCTTTCTTTTTTTTTTTCTTTTTTTTTTTTCTTTCCTTTTCTTTTTTCCTTTTCTTTCTTTCCTTTTTTTTTCTTTCCTTTTCATTCCTTTTTCTTTTCTTTTTTCTTTTAAGGTTTAAGCTTTTCTTTTCTTCCTTTTTTTTTTTTTTTTTTTTTTTTTTTTCCTAGCTTTTTTTGTTTTTTAATTTCTTTTTTTTTTTTTAAGATTTCTTTTTTGCTTTTTCTTTTTTTTTTTTTTTTTTTTTTTTTTTATAATTTCAATTTTTTTTTCTTTCCAGTTTTTTTCTTTTTTGAGAAATTTTCTTCCTTTGTTTTTTTCTTTCTTTTTTTTCTTTTTAAAATTTTTTTTTTCAAATTTTTCCTTTCCTTTTTTTTTTTTTTTTTCCTTTTCTTTCTTTCCTTTTCCTTTTTTTTTTTTTTTTTTTTCTTTTTCATATTTCTTAAACAGGCATCCTTTTTTTTTTTCCTTTTCTTTTTTTTTTTTTCTTTCCTTTTTTTTTCTTTTTTTTTCTTTCTTTATTTTTTTTCTTTTTTTTTTTTTTTTTGTTTTTGCGTTTCCTTTTTTGTTTTTTTTTTTCTTTTTTTTTCTTTTTTTTTTTTTTTTTTTCCTTTTTTTCCTTTTTTTGCTTTTTTTTTTTTTTTTTTTTTTTTTTTTTTTCCTTTGTTCTTTTTGCTATTTTTTTGCAAAAGATTTCCTTTTCTACCTTTTTCCGGGTGAAATTCTTTTTTTTTTTTTTCTTTTTTTTGTTTTTTCTTTTTTTTTTTTTCTTTTTTCCTTTTTTTAAATATTTTCTTTTTGTCATTTCTTTTTTTTTCTTTCTTTTTTTTTCTTTCTTTTTAAATTCTTTTTGCTTTTTTTTCTAGTTTTTTCTTTTTTAAAATACAGAGTCTTTTTACTTTGAAAAACTTTTATTTTTTTCTTTCTTTCCTTTTTTTGGCCTTGGTTTTTTAACCATTTTTTTAACTTTTTTATTTTGTTTTTTTCATTTCCTTTTCTTTTCTTTTTTATTTCAAACTTTGAAGATTTTCTCCTTTTTTTTTCATTTGATATTTTTTCTTTTTTTTATTTTTTTTCTTTCTTGTATTTTTTCTTTCTCTTTTCTTTTTTTTTTCAAAATCTTTTTTTTTTTTTTTCAAATTTTCTTTTTCATCTCTTTTTTTAAAAATTTTTTTTGAATTTTTTTTCTTTTTTCCTTTTTCTTTTAATAGAAAGATTTCTTCCTTTCATTTTTTTATTTTTTTTGTTTTTTTTTTCTTTCTTTAAATTTTTTTCTTTTTATTTATTGTTTTTTTTAGATGGTTTATCCTTTTTTTTATTTATAGCATAAAAAAATATTTATTCAAAAAATAATCGATGACTAAACCAATATTAAATTGGCTCTCAATTGTTGATTCACAAAACATTAAGCTGCATTTTAGGAATAAAGTCTTGATCATTTTTTTTAAATTACAACTCTTTCTTTTTTTTTTTTTTTTAACAGTTTGATGATATTTAAGTTTCTTTCATTTAATATAAATATATATAATTATCTTTATTCAATGTGACCTACTTTTCAAAAAAAAAAATTTTTTTTAAACCATTGTTTCATATGAATTGTTTTTATTGGTGAAAATTTTTAAAAATAAAACGGCATATAAAAAATAAAACGGGTGTTTAAAATGCAGCCCAATTTCAACAGGGCAAATCAAGAAAAAAAAGTAAATTGTTAAAATTATTAATTAATGGTACAAAATGTCATATTTAAAGGTTATTATTTTTGATAAATGATTAGATAATTACAAAAAATTAAAAAAAAAAAATAACTTTTATAATTTATAAAAAAATAATATATCCAAATAAAAAAACAAAATAAAAATCAAGCAATTATTACAATTTAGCAAAAGTACAGTTTTATTTAAAACTCAGTCAAAATTTTTCCTTTATATGATCTATAAAACTTTAATCAGAGATTGTAAATGTTCTTAATGGAATAATTATATATAAAAAAATTTTGATTGTATTTATTTTTTGCAACTTTAAAGTTATCCCAAAAAATATTAAATTTACAAATATATTTTAAAAATATATAATTTTTCTTATTAAATATAATTTTAGTGAAACAAAGTTACTAATATTAATATTTGTGATGAATTTATATAATGAATATTTTTCAATTTTAACTTTTTAATTTTGTATAATAGCCTTTTTTTTAAGACAATTTTATTTTTAAAATACAAAAGTCTAAATATAGATTTAAAGCATTTTTTTTTTTAAATTATGGGGACTGTTTTAAAATGCTGTAAAAAATGTTCATATACCAAATTCTTTTGAGAAGAATTTCAAAATATAAACATTAAAAATAAATAAAAAATTTCAATATATGCTGTCAAATTTGTTATAAAGCCTTCATCTAAAAATATAAATTGCTAAGAATTTAAAACGAAAATTTTTATGAGGAAATTTAAATAAAATATAGTTGAAATAAGGCCTAATTTTGGTCATTGATTGTAATTACTGGGAAGAGATATAAACTTGTCTGTTCATTTTCGTGGTAATTTTTAAAATAAGAAAAATGCAAAATGTTTTGCTGTTTTCTTTTTTTTTTTTAAATAATTTTTCACCCAAGATGCCATTTCTTTTTGAAAATGGGGAAAACTGAAAAAATTTTATTTTTTTTCCAGCTCACAATATCACATTGATTTCTTTATTTTAAAAATGAGCTTTTCTTTTTTTTAGGTAAATTTACTTTATGAATTTAAAAATCAGTACTAGATTGGCAGTTAAATCATCATTTTACAGTTTTAAATTTTTGTGTAGCAAATACCAATTTTCTTCTTTGAGTTTTAAGTTTCTTTTAACACTTCTTTAATGGAACTCTCATCAAGTTTTTTTTTTTTTAAAATGCAAATCTTCAAAAATTTTAAATGCAATATCAATAAAATCTTCTGTTTTCTTATTCTTTTTCTTTTATTGTCCTCTCTCCATCATTTCAAACTTTTTGATTCTTTCATTTCAAAAACTGAATCTCCTTGATACTTTACAATAAATCAAATTTATTTTGGGAAAATTTGGGTTTTTTAGAAATTTTATGTTTGATTTTTGATCATATAACAAATTTTCTTTATAAATAAATTTGCAAAAAAAAGTGAAAATGGTAGTTAAATATTTAAAATCTAAAATTTTTCCTGCAATTTTTAACATAATCAAAAATTCTTTCGGTTGTCATTTCAGATCCAACACTTTTGAGATAAATGGTTTTTAATCCTTGCAAATTTCAAAAAATTTTTTTTTTATTTCAAAATCCATCTTTTACAATTCTGTTTTAATTTTTGTAAAGTTTATTTTTACTATATTTAAAAATAATTATTATTATTTAATTTTCTTTCTTTTTTTTCTTCTGAAGAGGAAAAATAGGGATTATTTTTTTTCTGGTTTAGATTTTTTTTTATTTTCCAGTTCCTCTAAAAAAGTTTTGATTCATTTTTTTTTTTATAGTACCTCTAGGTCAACTGTCTTGATAGCATTATTTTTTGATCTTTTGAATTGATTTAAAAAAAAAATAATTAACTGATATGTTTTAAATATTGTTAAATTATATTTTACACTGGAAATTCCCAATTTAATGTGTTCAATAGTTAAATTTTTTACCCAACAGTGATTTTTTTTGATGTAACAGTAAGGATATCTTAATGTATATTGTTATCATTTTTCATCCCTCATATTTAATTACTTTATATAAATTTTCACCTGCATTTCACAGAAGTTTTTTTACTGGACAATTTTGTCCATTTTTTTTCAAATCCAGACTTCTAAATAAGAAAAATTGAATATATGATTTAATAGATAAAAAGAAGAAAAAAAATAAATTTTTTTTTTTTTTTTTTTTTTTTTTGAAAACAAGGTTGTATTTTTGTTCAAATTTGATTTTTTCCAAACTTTTTTATATTTTATTTTTTTAATTGCAAAATATAAATTATTTTACATAAACATACATTTTTTGATTTTCATTTGGCCGTAATTGAAATTCTATGAAAATTGTCGGTGATTTTGACAATGAATATTGCATTGTCCAATAATTTTTTACAAAGAAAATTTCTCTTGGGAATGATTGTTAGAATTGAATAAAACATGGTCAATGATTGTTATTTGTATATAACATATGTTTGTTCATGAATTTTATATAAAAAAATGAATTTTGTAATTTTAATTTTTTTTTTGCACCAAAAAAAATTGTTGTTTAAATGTTTTCCTTGGTTTTTCATTTTCTTTAAAATTTGTTTGCCTATTTTTCTATAAATAAAATTTTACAACTTATTTTAAATGGCATTTCATTAAATTATTTAAATTTTGTTTTTTCATTTGAAAACAAATCAAAATCTAATGATGCATTTAATCTTTTTTCTGTTTTTTTTTTTCCTCTTAATAACTGTCATCAAAACAGTCTAGCATCAACTAAAATCTTCTTTTTTTTTTTTTTTTTTAGAAAATTTGAAATTTTAAACATTTCAACATAAAAAAGTCTAACAGAATCCAATTTTTTTCTTTTTCATGTCTTCTTTTTTTTTTTTGTTTTATTTTTCTTTTTTTTTTCTTTTTTTTTTTTTTTTTTTTCTTCTTTCTTTTTCTTTTTTTCTTTTTTTTTTGACAAACATCCTTTTTTTTTTTCTTTTTTTTTCTTTCACAAAATTATTTCTCCTTCATCTTTTTTTTGTTTTCCCTTTCTTTTTTTTTTTTTTTCTTTTTTTTTTTTTTTTTTTTTTTTCTTTCTTTTTTTTTTTTTCTTTCCTTTTTTCTTTCTTTTTTTTTTCTTTCATTTTTTTTTTTTTCTTTTTTTTATTTTCTTCTTTTTTCTTTTCTTTTTTTTTTTTTGTTTTTTTTTTTTCTTTTTTTTTTCTTCGTTTTTTTTTTTTTTTTTTTTTCTTTTTTTTTTAAAAATTTTCTTTTTTTTTTTTTTCTTTTTTTTTTTTTTCTTACTTTTTTTTTTCTTCTTTTTTTTTTTTCTTCTTTTTTCTTTCTTCTTTTTTTTTATTTTTTTTTTCTTTTTTCTTTTTTTTTTTTTTTTTTTCTTTTTTCATTTTTTTTTTCTTTGAAAATTTTTTCTTCTTTTTTTTTTTTCTTCTTTTTAATTCTTCTTCTTTTTTTTTTTTTTTTTTTCTTTTTTTCAAAGAAATTTTTTTCTCTTTTTTCTTTTTTTTTTTTTTTCTTTCTTCTTTAATTTTTATTGCAAAAAAAAATTTTATTTTCTTTAAATGCCAGTTGATGTTGAATAAAATATTTTTTTAATGTAACCAAATTTTCAAATGACCCCGTTAAAAATTTATCAACAATTTAATTTAAAAAATTATAAATCTAAAAAAAAAAATATTTAATAATATTTTAAAACAGCTAATTCATTTTTTGTTTTGTTTTTGCAACACTTGGGACATGTATGTTATAAGAAATGTAATTAACTGGTTAATTTGACATTTTATTGAATACATGATTAGGACTTTGGTGGTTTTTCTGAAAAAAAAGTCTTTAAAAGGTCCTCATTTTTTTTTTTATTCTAAAAAATATATATATATATATATATATATATATATATATATATATATTATATAATATACAGGGTGTCCATAAAGTTCGTGTGCACTTTAAGAAATTTATAACTTTATTTGTATTTGCAATAGAAATAATCTGTAAAAAATGTTATAAAGTTTAATGTACCTAGTTTTAAGTATAGCTAAAATAACTAATGTGATTTCAGGCATTACTGTAAATCAGTTGACAAATGTTTTCCGTCAACTGCAAAATCGTATTACCCTTTGTATTGCTAATGATGGAGGACATGTGGAAACTTAAATAAATTTTCAATAAAACCTTACAAAATATAGATTTACTTTTT